CAGGGACACATTGTATGCCCCACTGTTCACAGCAATCAGGACAAGCAATTAAAGAATTCTGCAAAGTCTGCAAAGATTACCAGCGATCAGAACTGGTTCTGTCTCCCACCTCAAATAACCCACATGGGTGCCTATGTTCTCCTGTGCACCTGGGTGCTCCCGGCTCCTAGGGTGCTGCATGTATGCAGTGAACCACAGAGGACAGCTAAGGGACAGGCTCCATGTGTACCCGTACACACCCTGGACAGAGAAGGGAAGCTTTTACAGCTGTGCAACACATCCTTACCTGTGACAGGCCAGGAGTTCTGCACAGAACTCTTGCTCTATGCAGCAAGAGAGCACAGTCACAGTATAGATACAACCTCATCCCAGATGGGACATGAAGCACCAGATTTCAGCTGGAGCCCCCATACTTCTTTCTTCAGGGTGATGGTGTCCCCGGCAGCCTGGTGCCAGCCTGCAGCATGGACCTGAGTGATATCACCCTGTAGGGGACGCAGCAAAGTTCCCTGCAGCAAATGTAGCACAGGCAAAACCATGCTCTTGCTTCTGCCAATGATTTCCTCATGTGGTAAGATGTCACCAGAGCAGACAGGAGAAGGTGAAGGCAGGGTAGACTCAATTCTCATTGTGCAGCTGAGTCCAGTCAATGAGATCTTCCCTCCCATTGCCCAAATCCGGGGAGAAAGTGGATGTCTCTAGGGGATTACAGCCCACAACATTCTGGAGGTGGTGTAATTGAGGGACCTGCAGTGGAAAGCAGGTGGTTAGAAGACTACAGCTGCCACAGTGAGCAGCCATCTGGGTATAAATTGCAAGGACCAACAAATGAGGCATATTCAGTAAGTCTCTGTATGAAAAGTGCAGGGTGTCTGGTTTTGGAGCATTCCTATTCCCTGTGGCTTCACCACAGCCCCTGGCTGATGGAAAGGAGTATTATAATGTCTGTGGTCCTTGTAGAATGGTGCATCCATCTCTTTTTCAGACCTCCCGGGTCACAGGCAGGACCTAGAAGACTGCCCAAGCTTTTGAAGGCTCAGCACCACATCTATACACAGCCTCACCCACTGCACATGGCTCCCCTGCCTATTAACGCGAGGACAGCAGCAGGACCAGCCCGCAATCCTTCCAGATCACTAGACAGCAAAGATGTCTTACCACACTGAGGTCTGAGCCTCCACAACAGAGCCGCTCCCACTCCAAGCATGCACTAAGGATCTTCATTGTTCCTCAGCTTCCCTCTTAATGAAAAATAGCAGCAATAATATCACCAAAATAGCACCCATAACAGCCCCCTACCCACTTCACATGGGGGCTTGTAAGATCTTGAAATTCATCAGTGCTTTTGAACACAAATAATTTTCTTGAGTCAGAGCTCAGTCTGGAAACAGGTCTGCTTTATTAAAAATACAAGACAGCTGGGGATTTTCAAACCATAGAAGCAAGAAGTGAATACCTAATACTCTATCTAGTATGTGCTCTGTCAGAGCATCCCCCACCCAAACAGATACTGCTTCTCACCAGCCACCCCAAAAAGCTCCAGACACTCAACCACTTTTGGCAATCTTTGCAGTGGGCCTTCCCTCTTGACCCAGCTCTTCCATTACTTCAACACTTGGCTTGCTGAAACGCCAGTACCTCCCTCCTGTCCAGCCATAGATTCAGAGTGTGGCCCAGCGCTGTCACATTCAGGCTGAGTACCTATGTATTCTGCCAGGAGCCAACGTTTAGAGGAACAAAGCCAATGCACATCTCGGCCCTGCACCTCTCTCTTCTGATGCCAGCAGAGCGCCTCATGCACAGGGCTGTGGCTGATTGATGCTCCCTGGAAGCAGGCTACACTGGGCTCTTCCTAGATCCAGTCCCCAGGGACCCACATGTGTCCTCCCCTGTACCCCAAAGCTGATTACACAGCCCTACTATGATGCTCCATCCACTGGACTGCTCTACAAGAAGAAAGCAGGGACAGTCTCCTGGAAATCAGCAATAAACCAATATTTCCCTCCCCAGTGTCCCACCCCAGGAATGACGGCCAGGTCCTGAAAATGGGAGACACTAGAAGGAACAGCACCTCTGCTAAAGCAAACACCTTGTGACCTGGGCATTGGCTCTGCCAAGCGAGTCGCCTTTAGAAACAGGAGGCTCTGCATCAAACTCTGCACCACCTCCTCCTTCCTGCTGTGGTTCAGTGAGG